CAAAAAAAAAAAAAAAAAAAAAACATAGTGAACTATTTATTTATTTTATTATTGTTATTATTATACTCGGCAGCGAGCTGTTTGGTTGGACAGTTGCGATGTCTTGTCTCTTTTTTATTTTTTATTTTTTATTTTTTGGTTGGGAATTATTGTTTTTGCTGTAAATTTAATTTAAATTTATATTATTTAAATATAAATAATAAAAAAAAAGGGGTAAATATTGGGCTTTAAATATTGGAACTCAATTATTAGGTTATTGCCCACTTCCAAATTAAAATCCGTGTAGTAAATAGCAGACTGAGCTTTCAATGAAAAATTCAAAACTCTCACCTGAACACCAAATTGTAATTTAATTTTTTATTTTCTCAAGTAAAAAAAAAAAAAAAAAAAAATTATTTAAAAATTTTATAATCTCACAATCATGACTAAAATTGTAATTTTATCTTATTTAATAATGTATTTAAATTTGATGGTGACCTCCATAAATTAAAATTTAAAATATAGACGCTTAATTTTAAATGCAATACTTTCTCCCACGAGTGGTAGTTATGAGAGTTTCTCCATTAAATTTGAATTAAATATTGTCCATAAATTTTTAAAATAAAAATTAATTTATTTTATATTCTATTTTCCTCTTTCGGTAAATTCAAATCCGCACCTTTTATAAAGCATCTACGAAATTTCTATTTCTCAATAATTCAACCAAACCCAATTTAGAATTATTTTTAAAAAGAAAATTAGATTTAAATATAACACACTAATTACGACATTACCCAATTAAATGAGTTAATGAGTTCAACACCTAATAAAGTGAAGCCTTCAACCCCTAATTAAGAAGATTTTAAATTAAATACCTACTCATATTATTATTAATTTATTTATTTAATATGAAAATAACATGATTTTTAATTTTATACTAAGAATGAAGATAAATTAAATAATGACAAATAAACAATTTATGTTTTTTTTTTTTTTTTAAATATATGTTATGGCCCAATAAGGATTTGAAATTCCTTCATTATGACAATTATTACAAGATTAATTAAGTTACCAAATCCATCTGACTTTAGTCTTAAATTGGGTGATTAAGTATGATTAAGTCAAAGTTTAGGGTAAGAAAAAACTAAGCTAAGAAGGGTCCATTATAATAAATTAAATATAAAGTTTTATTAAAATAAAATCTATAAAATGAGTTTTGAATTTACTATAAAGTTTAAAAAATGATATTTCAACCCAAAAATGGGAAACCTATTAATTAATAGAAGTATTTACAAGGGGAGACATTATTAATTAATTATGATTATGAAATTAATCGCTGAATTGCAACTTTATATTATACGACGTGGAAGCAAAATCTATGGTAGGCTACGTGGCTCAATCTTACCCTTACAAATCTGGCCATTTCTTTGTGGGTCCCACGTATTAATTACCAAAAAAAATTTCATCTATTCTATTAATTAGTTTATAAAAATTTAATGCAAATTAATAAAAAAATTTAGATAAATTATTTGATCATGGAATTAATTCAATGAATTTAACCTGTCAGTTTCTATATTCCATTCTAATAGAAATTTAGTTATATAGCTCTTTTTTAGTTATATATATATATATATATATCAAGTATAAAAACAAAATAATAATAATAATAAATAAATAAATGTGTGGTTGACATTATTATTAATTCAAGTTTGATTATTTAAAAACATGTTTCAAAGATATTAAAATTACTTTTAAACAATAAAAAAAATGAGTTCCAATTGTTTTGGAATTTATTATATATATATATATATTTTTTTTTTTTTAATTTTAAAAAAATAGTTATTTCAAACTCACTATTTATCCAAAAACCCCACGTTTCAATAACATTGGTCTTAAATGTTGGCATTAATAATTATGGTCCAAATAATAATTAGGTTAACTAAGACCCATGTCAGGATATATAATAGAGATTACTTAGCTTAATTAATTCAATTATGTCACTAACATAAATATATAGCTTTGCATTAACTATATACAAATACTTTTAATTATAGTATGTCATACCTAATACACGTCTCAATCTCTCATATGTTAGAAGATTAGAATATGAGAGAGAAATTGACAAATCTACCGGATAAGATAACGAGAAGATTTCAAATCCACGATTATTAGATAACGACCCCATCGAAAATTTAGTTATTAGTAGACGCGACTTCGAAATTTTACGTACCTCTAGATACAAATTTGAGATACTCTTTTAATAGATCTAATAACTTCACGTTGTAGCAACTTTCTCGAGTAACTTCACATTGTTTTCAAACCCTTATTTCAAACATAATTAGCTAAGAATCTCACAGTTAAGGGGTAGACGTCTCAATCCCACAAATGTTGTAGGTCACTACTATTAGAGATAACATACGAGAAGCTGGAAGAGTATCTCAAATTTATATCATTAAAATGATTATTAGGGACATGCAATTTTTCAAATAGAACATTCGATAGTTATTAGAAGACACCCACATTATTGTTCGGGTCGTTCGGGTGGACGCGGTAAGAGTTGTATTGAATAATTTTTCCCTCTTTTCTCTCTCTCCTCCTTTATGTGTCTCCAAGTTGGTGAAGACATAGGCAAGTTTGCGTATGAAATTTTGTGCCAGCTTCATGACAAGTACTAACATTTATGTCTCTACATACATATATACATATATATGTATATATGTATATATATACATACACACATATATATATATACACATACGTATATATAGCTGTCTCTCTCTCTCTACAAAATAACACTTTTCAACTCTGCTGACTCTCACCCTGAGCTGTAGCCCTAAATTTTCAACTGCCCTAAGCTCTCTCTCTCTCTCTCTCTCACTATTTGTAGTTCATTTCCCACTCTTACTTCCATCTTTCCATATTCTTCACAAATCTCATCTCTTTTTCTTTGTTATCTGATCGGAAAAGGTCATCTCCGGTCACCGGGAAATATGGAATGGGCCACCGGAAGTTTCAGACCCTTTCTTTCTCGGCCACCGGAATCTTCCTTTGGCTTTCTCTATAACTATAATCTTGAACAATATCAGGGTAATATTTCCACTTCATTTTAGGGTTCTTCAGTTTTTTTTTTTTTTTTTTTTTCTTCGACAAGACTTGATCTTTTGTTGTTTTGATTTGTAAAAAAACATACCCAGATCATAAAAATCAAATCTTTGCAGTTATTTAGGGTTTTTTATGAACATTTTCAAAAAAAGTTGCTGTCTTTGAACTAGAACTGTCATTGAACACTGAGAAAGTGGAAGATCGTGAACAATTTGTGTTTTTTTGAAGCATTTCATGTTTTGGAAATTGATTCTCTTGCAGATCCATGCAGAATAGAGGGAAGAATGAAGAATGGGACGATTATCTCTTAGATCGTTTAAGATTAAAACAAAATTAAAATTGAAAATTTGTAGATAATAGAAAGTTTGGTTTGTAAGAGAATTTCTATAATTTTCTCTCTGTGTGTTGCTTCCATGAGCAGGCATCGATGTGAAGCATTCGGCCATGGCGGGGACGTCTGAGACCGTGCTCCAAGGGCTGGTTCCAGGGATGGATATGAACAGCTATGGAAATTTGGATAAGAAGAAGCGGCTGAGCAGCGAGCAGCTCGAGTCGCTCGAACGTAGCTTCCAGGAGGAGATCAAGCTCGATCCCAATCGGAAGCAGAAGCTGTCGAAGGAGCTCGGTTTGCAGCCACGCCAGATCGCCGTTTGGTTTCAGAACCGGCGTGCGAGGTGGAAGGCGAAGCAGCTCGAGCATCTCTACGATACTCTCAAACAAGAGTTCGATGCCATTTCTAGAGAGAAACACAAGCTTCAAGAGGAGGTAATCTTTGTTTTGTTTAAGTTAGGGTAAATTGTGACAAATCTTACGAAGATCTCAATTAAGGCTTTCATTTGAGGATTAGGGTTTACTTAAAAACTTTTATTTCTTGAATTACGAACGTAATTATATCGATTTCAACCCTAAACGGAAACACGCTCGTAGGTCATAAAGCTGAAGAGTATGCTGAGAGAGCTTCAAGCTGCAAGGAACCAAGTATCGACGGTGTACACTGATTTGTCGGGCGAGGAGACAGTGGAAAGCACCTCCGTCGGAGCTGGCTGCTCGAGCAAGCCGAGAGCGGTGGCAACAGCAGCAGCAGCAGCAGCAAACCAGTACCCGACGCCACCGGAGCAGTGCAACTACGTGTTCAACACAGAGGAATACAACCCGATGTCTCCAACTTTCTGGGGGTCTCTGCCACCCACATATCATCCCCAGTAGGGTTGTTTGGTTTGGGTGTTGGGCTTGTCTTGGGCTTCTGTTTTTATCAGATTGTGAAGTGAGAGTTTAAATTAGGGTTTAGAGAATAGTGTTTGGAAGTTAACAGTTTCTAATATGATGAGTATTTTATGGGGTCTTGGGGTCTGTTTGGAGAGTTCAGATCATACCACCTCAAATCTGGTTTTAATTTTATACACAAAAGGGGAGCAAATTGAGATATTGATGTATGGTTTTGTTAAGAAAGAGTTGAGGTTATATGATCTGAACTTTCTGTGCTCATCTAACAAGATCCCACTTTAATAAATTGAATTCCTCTTTTATGTTCGCTAATTCATGATCATCTATATATGTTTAATGGTTCGGGTTTGCATTGTGATACCGAATTATAAGTTTAGCCAAATAAAGTTATTTGTAATAGCCTAAATCCACTGCTTAGCTAGTAATAGATATTGTCCACTTTAGTTCATTACATATTCCTGTCAACCCTAATAAGGAATGTTTCGTTCCACTGTCTACTCAATGTGGGATCTCACAATCCACCTCTTAAGCCCAACGTCCTTGTTGATTCCACACCCTTATAAGAGCTCGATATAGGATCTCACAATTCACCTCTTGGGGGCCTGCCTAGTGTCTGGTTTTGTTTCCTTTTGTCAACTCAAGCGCAAATATTATCCACGTTGGCCTGTTACGTACCGCCACCTCACGATTTTAAAATGTGTCTACTAGGGAGAGGTTTCCAATATTTCGTTCACATATCTACTTGATGTAAGATCTCACATATCTAATAAGTACATGGTTTAGGGTTTTCAATGCACAAGAAATTAACAATTCCGATTAGAAACCCAAACTCATGCTTGAATCATATCCAAAATATGACTTTCCATTGCTGTATCGACATCCTTACTCAAGTTGGTCTTTCGTTCTCGTCGAACGTCTCGACGTTTAATGGGTCAATTTGAAAATACAATCACATTACAACACGTTAACACGACCATATGAGAAAATATTTGGAATGTCTTTCTCCAAATGAATAAATCAAATAAGCAGAACCACACAGTTTATAGGCACTGACCATTCACAATGGCCAAACACGTAAACAAAATAAACCCAACTTAAATCTGTCTTCAACCTCTCAAATATACCTGTCAAATCCATCTGTGGAACATTAAATTCGACTGGTTCTAAATGTTTGACCTAATAAAACCAGATCCCCCAGGGGATGAATAATATGTAAATGCATTGGGCACAAGAGTGTTAAGATTAGAATGGAAGTCAGTCAGAGAAGACCAAAAGTAAATGCATTGGGCCACTTCTCATAACAGATGTCCTATCCACTAAAACTTGTAATTTAAGTGACAAAACAAAACAAAATAGGGTATCAACGCTTCCCACCGCCACCACCGAGCTTTGGACCTTTGGATGCAGGTCCCTTCGCAACGTTACCCTTACCTGGTGCCTTCTGGGACTTGGCTAACACTTCCGCTTTCTTGGCCTTCTTTTCGTCCTTTGTTTTCTTGATTCTTTCCTTAATTTCCCTGCAATTCAATAGAAAAAAGAACATGGGTTCAATGCAAATTCATGTGTTTGATTCATAGTGTTTCTATTTTAGTTCAATCGTGTTATGCACCGCAGAGCAGCTTCTCTGGCAGCATCACGCACTTCTGGCTTTTCGGCTCTCTTCTTCTGGATGACTTCCAAAGTTGCACCAACAATGGACCTCGAGTATGGCTTCCTGGTGGTACGTCTCCTCTTCTTCACCGCCTCTTGAGCAATATCCTACCAATGCCAAAATAAGATAAAAATAAAACTCCAACAATCACATTCTAAAGTCCTAAAACAGCAAGAGTAACCGCCCTAATAGACCGTTTTAAAATCTTGAGGCTGACGATGATGTAACGCGCAAAAATGACTCAGGCAGAATGACTTAAGAAATGGGTTGAAGGTTAACGGATGCTTTATTCACACTTCTTCCTAAACTACATAATTTATTAATGGTTTTAAACACGTCTCCTAAGGAGAGACTCTCCGCACCCTAATAACGAACTTTTCGTTTCCCACTCTAATATATTACCTTCTTATGCTGCTTCCTATACATGGCTGTCCAGGTAAGCTTCGAAGGCTTCAACCGGTTGTGGAAATACCTCTTGCATTTTGAGTTAGCAAAGAGGAACACCTGATACATTGGCAGAGAAAAAAATGTTAAAACAAACAGGGGAATACCCACCACCTCCAACACCATTCTAGAGGTTAATTCATCTGTTTCACCTGAGAATCAGCCCGGATAAATCTGATGCCCCTCCCTGGGTATATCTTGGAGCCACTGAAGCGACACAGCTCAGTCCTGAAAAGCCAATGCCATGATATGCTATATCATCCAAGCCAGTCGCTCGTTCAAAAATAAATTACAACAATAAATAATGGTTCCCGGAAGCAAAAGAACTCTCCATCTAAATCGTCCGCCGCTGCAATCAAACTAACAACCCTCTGACCAATTAACTTAAGCCTAACGGACATTCTCTATTGAACTTCTCCTTTCGAATTTCTTTCAAGCGGAATGCTTCCTTAAAATGAACTTCGGTTTCTTAAATGGAAGATGATTATCAAGGACAAACGTATTCTCCTCCCTCGGAAAACGGGGTATAGATTTCTGAAGCGTTAATGATGAACGTGCAAATGCGAAAACCAAACCAGAAAAACAGAGCATACGCGACCAAAATGACAATCAGATCAAACAAAAAATGAGAACGGAAGGGATTAGACGAACTTGAGAACCATGGCCGCTGCGCGCTAAAGCTTCCTCCCGGGTTGTTGATGAAACCCTATTAAAACCAAAACCCCGCTCGATTTAATCGGTAGCTTATATTGCAACTGTTGAACAATCTCTTGGGCTTGGGCTTGGGCTTGGGCTTGGGCTCATTTGAAAATTACATGAAATTTCTTTCGACAAAAAATTATTTAAAAATTGTGATGTCCGTGATGTTTATGCCCATAAATTGGGAGTTACAAAAGCCAAAACTTGAAGCTTTAGTCTAAAACAGAGAATTGAACCCACGAACAGAACATTCACATGGCAGCCATTTACACAATCTTTTGTTTGTTTTATTACACAGTTCATCCATCGATCCATCCAAAATAAGCACAAAACTGTACGGTTCCCAAATATGAAAATTCATTATTCGAAAAAAGAAAAGTGCAGCAGAAAACAGACGACGATCGACGATCGACGATCAACGATCAACACAAGCTAGCATTTTCATATCAGATTTCACATTTTCCCCTGACGATCCTTCGAACGATCCTCGTCCATTCGACCAACGTCGTTGAAAGTCTGCCCCGCCATGTCGTCCGCCTGCTTCAAAGTCGAGGCCAGCGCCCCCGGCCTTGTCTCCTCCATCCCTACCACCACCGTGTCTCCCCCCTTCCCGCCACTTCCTCTGCCAAGACACCATAAACAATTCAAATATATATTTTTTTTTCAAATAAAAAGTGAAATGGGTGAGAATTTGTTTTACCTATTACGCTCGAGTGTCACTTTTGCTTCTTCTCTGTCGCTCCCTCCTCCCTCCAGCCTCAGCTCCTCCATCTTCCTCCTCGCGGCCTCCTCCGATTCGCCCATCTTTTCCTGCCATTCCTATGGTTTAGTGCAGGATTTTGTGGTGTACTCCTGATATGAAAGAATTTGAAGTTACCTTGGCGGCTTCTTTAGTCTCGAAAGATTTCTCCTTCGCTTCCTCTTTCTTTCCAGATAAGTATTCCATGGCTCTCTTTGCAGCATCCGCCGCTGAATCTCTCAATTCCCCCAGTTTGCTTACTGTCGTGTCCTTTCCTTCTTTCGCCTTCTCCTCCGTGTACTCCGATGTCTCTCTCGCTTTCTCCGCTGTATAGTCTCTGTATTCCCCTGCCTTCCTTGCCGCCGCATCCTTCGTCTCCTTCGCCTTCTCCTCCGTGTAATCCTTGTACTCTGCTGCCTTCTCCTTCGCTTCATTCGCCTTCTCCGCCGCGTAGTCTTTGTACTCACCCGCCTTCCCCTTCGCCGATTCTGTCGCTTCCCTAGTCTTCTCTGCTGTGTAATCTTTGTATTCCCCTGCTTTTCTCGCCGCAGCGTCCTTCGCTTCCTTCGCCTTCTCCGCTGTGTAATCTTTATATTCCCCTGCTTTTCTGGCCGCAGCGTCCTTCGCTTCCCTTGCCTTCTCCGCTGCGTAATCCTTATACTCGCCGGCCTTTCCTTTTGCGGATTCTGTAGCCTCCGTCGTCTTCTCCGCTGTATAGTCTTTGTATTCCCCTGCTTTTCTTGCCGCCGCGTCCTTCGTCTCCCTCGCCTTATCCGCCGCATAATCTGTGTATTCGCCTGTCTTGTTCTTCGTTTTCTCTCCATATTCACTCATTTTCCCTCTCGCCGACGCCACCGTATCGCCGGTGGCTTCCTTCGTCTCCCTCGCCTTCTCTGCCGCTGCACTTCCATACTCGTCCATTTTCCTCTTCGCCTCCTCCGTCGTCTCTCTTGCCTTCTCCGCCGACGCGTCCTTCACCTCCTGGCCTCTCTCCTCCGCTTCCTGGCTCTTCCCAACCACCGCCTCCTTCGCGTGTTCATACGTGTCCTGCACCGCCTTCAGTACAGATCCGATCACCCCGGACCTCTGCTGCTGATCATGTGCCGCCGCCCGGTCCGTCTCCACGACCTCCACCGTGGCTTTTTTCTCGGTTCCAGGCGCCGCTGCGTGCTTCTCCTCGTCTCTTTTAATGTCTCTGAGATCGGAAGCAGCAAGCCTCGCCGCTACCTCTGCTCTCTCCTTCTTCATTTCCTTCGACGCCATTGAGATCTCCACCGGAATTTTCTCCAAATGTGATTTTAATTTTATCGCGTTCCTCTTGTGGATGCTTGTTGATAGTTTTTTGAGTTGCTGTTCGGCGGTCGCCGCTGGACTTATATAAACACCGATGGAGAACTATGTGATTCGATCTCTGTAGAACCGACACGTCGTTTCTTAGTGCTTAAGGGGAGGCCACGTGTACGTCGGATACTAAACGACACGTAGTCGAGCTACTTATGTCCCCTGGCCGATGACACGTCCCGTTTTATGGCCGAGGTCGGTGGTTTGATGTTTTGTGCTGATTAACCTCCACGTGTCACGATGCAACCACGTGTCAAGCTGGGTGAGTGAAAAGCATTATATATATAATTTCGATTAGATAAATAGGAATATATAATGTCTAGAATGACATGCTTTAGTATTTAAAATAATGAAGGATCAGTTCAAATTGGTAACGATTACCGACATTTTAAAGTTTTGAGTTCTTCAAAATGTAACAATTTGGTTGTTGCAATAAGACGAGCGATAGTGTTACAATCCACGATACGAATATACTTTGAGGAAGTTATTAAAGACGTTTACTAGTTTAAGTGGAGGAGAATGTCACGTCCTACTCTCGTCTTGTTATGGCTGTGACTTTACGTGCAAACAAGCAAAGGTGGTAACATGAAAGTGACGTTCAATCGGTCACGTGAGAGTCGAGACAAGATAAGTACTATGATGCAAGTAAAGAAGATGAAAGGTAAAAGATAGATAAGAGTGTTAGAGATAGGCTCAAAAAAGAGTTGGAACCTCGGGGCCTTGAAAGTCAGGATTCCCGTATGAGTTTTGGCATGTGGCTCTAGAGTTAAGTCCATTTATATGAAATATGAATGCTTGTCAAATTTGTTGTCAATCGAACATTTGACAGCCGCTCCACGAAACTGTATGATCGCTCACAAAAATCGTGAAATCCCACGTCAGTTAGAGAAAGAAACGAAATATTTTTTATAAGAGTGGAAACTGACAGCAGTATGTAACGATCCAAGCGAATAATATCTTTTAATGGTGAGTTTGGGTTGTTACAAATGGTATTAGAGACTGACACTTAGCAGTGTGCTAGCACGGACGCTGACCCCCAAAAGGATGGATTGTGAGATCCCACGTCGGTTAGAGAAAGGAACAAAACATTCCTTAGAAAAGGAGTGAAACCCTCTCTATAATAGACACGTTTTAAAACCATGAGACTAACGACAATATGTAACAAGTCAAAACAGACAATATCTGTTAGCGGTAAGTTTCAACGATTACAAATGATATTATAGCCTGACATTTGATTGTGTGCTAGCGAGGACGTTGGTCTCTAAGGGGAGCGAAACATTTTAAAGATGTGAAAACCTTCTCCTAGTAGACGTGTTTTAAAATCGTGAGGCTACAACGTTACGTAGTTAAAGTACACAATGATTCTTCAATACATAAGTGCCTATGCCAAAATTAATATTAAAAGAATAGAATGACAGGAAACATGTTCATCCATAGACACCAAAGTTGATTCAGCTCAAAGAATTCCCAAGTCCTTAAAAGATAGTTTCAAAGCCAAGGAATCGTTGAAAAAGCAAAGGACAATCCGGTTTAACAGATTGGTAAAGAATCTTTTACACCATTTTCATAACAAAACTTCACAATTCTCCCAATTCTTCATTCATTTTCGTACAAAAAATCCATCGGTCAAAAAAGGAAGGACTTAAAAAAAAGAAGAAGATTATCAGATGGCAAAAACATGTTCAAAAACTGGTCAGTTGGGGGCAGTGGTATTAAAAATTGGCATTCCTCTAGCTTGTTCTGCAGCAGGTGGCATATGCGCCATAATGATGGAAAAACTCATGGAAAATAGGCACTTGAGAAGCCATAATTGTTCTTCATTTTCAATTGCTTTAGAGGATGAGGAAATTTCAGAAACAGAGGAACAAAAACCCAATGTTGAGAAGAAGGTAATTCAAAGCTTAAAAGACAGAGTTGAAGATCTTGAAAGAAAAGAAGTGGAAATAGAGAGGCAGTTCATTAGGTACCAAAATTTAAAAGAAAGGGAAGCTTTGCTGGTGGAGATGAAGAACAGCTTGGTTATGGATATGGGTCATATCAGCTTCTTGGAAAGGGAGGTTTTGTGGATGGAAGAAGAAATCAAGAGGTTTGAGGGTTTGGTGTCAGAATATTTGGGAGTTGCAGAGCAGGTTGAAGGGCAAAGAAGAGAGAACAGGTTGCTTGTGAGAGAAGTAAAGAAGATTAAGAAGAGATTGGAGGAACAATCGAAGATGATAAGAGAGAAGAATTTGGAGATTGAAGATTGTAAAACGAAACTTGAAATGGAAACGAAGAGAAGGATGTTAGAGAAGGTGGGGAATGAAGTAAGAGAGTTGAATATGCAAATGGCTGAATTAAAGGTTTCATTCTTCTTCTTCTTTTCTGCACTCAATTTTGCTTTTATCTCATAACAAATTGAGGATTTCAGGTTTGTTGTGTTGCAGATCAAAGAAGAAAAGGCAGTGACAAGTGAGAATTTCGAGAAGCTTTCAAATGAAGTGAATCAGTTGAAAGATGCAATTGAGATGTTAAGAAAGAAAGAACAGCAAGAACAGCAAGAACAGCAAGAACAGCAAGAACAGCAAGGGCAGAAAGAAAATCCAGATCACAAACCTCTGGATCGAAAGGAATCGTCGTCTGATAAAACTAACTCCACAAGGACAAAGCTTCTTCATAGAATAATCTGTATTGGGGGGAAATGAAAAGAGGAAATACTTCATAATATTCTCCAAATCCTTATCCACACACTAATATCTGTATTTGTGTTTGAAAATAAAAAATTACAAAAAAATAAAAAATGTAATTTTACTCCATTTTATGTCAATTAAGTTGAGTAATTGAGTAGTGTTGGGAGTGAGTCCCACGTTACTCATAAGTTTATAAGTAAAGGAAACCTTTTGAGGAAGTCCAAAACAAAGCCATAAAATATCATACTATGGTAAAAAGTCGTAATTCCTAACCAATTACTTATAAAATTATGACACTTTTAATTTTAATTTAATAGTCTAAGGTTTGTACAGTAGATTTGTGAATTAAAAATAAAAAATAAAAAATTGTAAACTAGATATAACTATCATTTGTAATTTTAAACAAAAAGTTTATAAATTTGTGCTGTTTAAAACGTTGTCTTAAAACTAAAAAAAATTGAAATTATGTGTTAAAAGATTTATAAAAGAAAAATGTGGGTTTTTTTTTTTTTTTTCTTGATGATAAAGAGAAATTTGTAATTTTGAAAACGTATTTCAACAAAATATTTCTACACAAAATCAACCAAACCCAGTCAAAACTACCCCATTGCAGATAATATAAATAAATAAATAAATAAAACCATTAAATAACAGAAACATAGGCTTGAAAATTAGAAAAACACCATTCAACAAATCTAGTTTCGAAACAAGCATCCATTCTGATTCTGGCAAAAGAAAAGGGTACTACTAATGGACTACTAAATGTTAGTAGTTTTCTAAACAAGGGAAGATTAAAATGTTCCTCAAAATAAAATGGCAAAAAAACTACGACGAAATCTGTAAAGAACTCTCTTCCATTCCAGAAGTCAATCGGCCACCAGCCAGCCGATGTTCGGTACCAAAAATTCAAAAAATTTATTCTCCGGTGAAGAATTCACTGAGAAAGTGAATTAAAGTTGGAGCAGTTTTGGTTCCCTTTTAGCTGCGCTGACTGCAAGCTCAGCCGGTATGGAAATCAGAGTCTTGGTTGGACAGCTTACTCTTTGAGATCTTAAGCACCTGCACTGCTTCTTCAACCTTGGCAACTAGAGATTCAGGTGACTCTAACAGAAGCAGTAATTCCGAGTTGTCCATCTCCAGAAGCATCCCAGTAATCTTCGCAGCTAGCTCCGGCTGCAAGTGTCATTAGTTTAGAATGTGTCTTTAATCATTCAAAATCTATTTAATGTTCGGTTTTACCCTTTAAAACTGATTTTCCTACAATCAAAAATGATTCTGAACATGAATAAAATGATTTTAGTCACTTCAAGATCACTCCTAGACATGCTATTAAGTATCGTGGTCGATCAGTTACCTTGCATTTTTGGACAAGGGGGTAGAGATGCTCCCCAAGGATCTGTTTTTGTTGGTCTGGGGGAGAGGAAGAAAGGATGCTGCTCAGTATTTGGGATCCCTGAGAGACATCTCCAGCAGAATTAAAAGCAGCAGCTGAGACTCCAGAAGTTTGGTTTCTTTCACATGGGCGTGCATTTGGGACATACTTAACCTGTCCGGTCCACTACAGCAGAAGCCTCAGAAAACAATATTTTACGGTAGAACACACCATATGATAACTACATTTTTGGATGGTCTATGACTGACTCCAACTTTTTCCAAATTAGTGCTCAAGTCCAAAACACCTCCAATTACATTACGTTGGACAAGAAAATTGAAAATCTATTCCACAGAAACCATTCATAGAAAGTCTATTCCACTCCGAATTCAGATGAATGGAACAAGCAAGATGCACGAGAAGTGAATAATCTGTAGAAAGACCAGAATAGCTTACCTGCTGATTGCCGGATGATTTATCTATAACTCCTGGTTGATGGGCATCTTGTGAATTGTGCATATAATAGACAGATTGGACACCATTTTGATGAGAAAGCATTGGTCCATTTATTTTGCCTCTGTTTTGCCTGGGTTGCCTCGAAGCATTCGGAATCTGTGGAATAAAAGTTAAGATGCTAAGAAAGATTGCTTTCACAAGTTAACAAAGTTTAACTCTTAATAATAATTCCCTTTTTGAAAAGAAAAAAAAAATGCAGAAATAATACATTATAATTATTTTATAAGATCACATATTATACAAAAAACTGCTGAGCTGCAGAAGACATCCAGGTTTAATCCAAGAAAAGTTGCAACTTACAATAGGTACAGGTGTAGGTTGAAAAGCAGGTCTTGCAGGAGATGTGAAGGCATTAGCTCTCCACGCAGGGTTCATTCCTAAAGGCTGAAACGTCAAACCTGAACGAGATGGTACTTGTGGAACAACACCTGGTGCTGGGTAATAATAAGGTGTGCATCCACCCTGAAAAAGTGTTGACTGTCCTAGCATCGCTGCCATCCGTTGTGCAAACTGATTCCTCAGTTGCATTTGTCTATCCACTTTTCTTTGTGCTATAGCCAAGTAGAGTGGCTTCCCGTGAAACATATATCCTATGAGTATACGTTATCCAGTGTCCAAAGAAAGGTAATTAGTAGAGACTTGACCAATAGAACTTAAGAAATGATAGCTTTACTCAAGAACAAGAAAAGGATGCCAATTCCAAAGAAAGGCAATCCAGTGTTTTTGCAATCCAATAATTCACAACTGAACATTCTTTCTTAAACTCTACTTAACTCAACCCAATTTTCAGTTTCAGTGGGGAGGAATGAAAACTTGCTTCAAAACTTCAAACAAATCAGAAACAGCACATCAAAGCACCCGTGAAACAATTTCAGATAATTTATGTATTGATAGTTCAATGCGCTCATGAAATAATTACCTTGCAGACTGTTCACGGCTCTTTTAGCTTCGTCGGGATTGGAGAAGCAGACAAATCCAAACCCTTTGTTTATTCCCTTGTCATCTCGCATAAGTTTTGATGAAGTGATGGTGCCACACGGACTGAAAAGCTCTCTTAGTTCTTCATCAGTAACACCATCTTCAATGTTCTTCACATACACATTTGAGCCCTACATAATAGTTGATATTGTTTATTGGGAGAAAGAGACTACAATTATACCAACAATGAAAAAGGACGAATTTTGAATGGTACCTTATATTTTAAGACCTGCTCTTTACATTTCTCTTCGTAACGTCGACGTAATACTTCCTCACGCTCTGTCTTCTTCTGCGCCCGTGCAATGTAGATATGCTTAGAACCTGGTAAAGAAAGAACATAGTGAGATAAAAAAAACACATCATATTGAGTTAACATCAAAAAATCTAGTTAAAGACAAAAGGGGACAAAGATGCATCTGTACCCAGTTGCGATCCATTAAGTGCTTCTAATGCCCGTTTCGCATCATCAGAGTTTACAAAGTTTATAAAGCCAAAACCTCTTGACATTCCATTCTCATCCCTTGAAATAATCATGCTGGAGATTTTTCCAAACTCAGAAAACTTTTCCTGCAAATGCTCTTCCCCGATCTCTGCGTCAAGATTTTTCACATACAAATTGGTGTATTTAACATCAGGATTGGCAAGGACTCGTTCACTCTTCCAGATAAACTTTCCGACATATCTGTAACACATGTATGGTGAGTGTAAATTAATTATACATACAAATAATAAGCATTGCACAGTTACTTCAAATTATGAACGCTCATGTATATTTCATCACATCAGGCGATCATTGCATGGCTGATGATAAGAAGTACTGTATTTACATCTGCTTATCCCCAATGGTAAAACCATTCAGTGACTCTATGGCAGCTTTTGCGGAATCCTCAGACTCAAATTGAACAAAGCCGTATCCTTTGCTCTTCCCATCATCGGATGTGACTACTTTGCTGGACAGAACATTTCCAAATTTCTTAAATAGCTCTTGAAGTCCTAAACCATTGATTGAATCGCTCAAGTTCTGCAATGGTTAGTCAAGTTAACCAGAAAAAGAACAAAAGACCATATTAAAATGTAAGTTTCATGAATAACCCGATATTGATTCTATAAGCCAATTATTCTCTCTGTAAAAACAGCATAAACCTTAACAAACACGTTTCCAATTCCACTTTTTCTTGCACCAGGATCGCGGCGTGACCACATGACTCGAATCGCTCTTCCATTGAGCATTCTGTGATTCATTGCCTCTATCGCATTGGTAGCTGTTTTAAATTATATAGACATAATAAGGCAGTCACAAAATCATAAGCTCCAATGTATGTTTAGTTTCAAATATTGTGCAAGAACCAATCATAGAAAGCAGCATTTCCAAATAAGCAACAAATGGCGGATAAAGCATCCTGAAATGACCAAATCTATTCAAGAATCAGAAAAGAAATTTGGTGTAAGCAGATAAATAAATAAAGGGGAAAAAAACAGAAGCCTTAACCGACTGCTAATCAACCTATTGAATTAAATAATTGCAATTCAATCAACTTTTTTATTATTTATGAAATCTCAAGATCAAGAATATAACAGTGATCAGCAAACATTTTTTCTGCCATAAATTAAATGACAAAAAGAAAGTTCATCGGAATCTCAAAGAATCCAAAGACTCGAATATAATGTTATATATCGATCGTCATTTGATTTCTCAACGCAAGAAAGAAAAAGGAAAGCAAAAATCCAACGCAAGAACGATACAAACGCCTTTAATCGCCCGATTGAAAAAGAACAAAAACAAAATCAAAGCACACAAGAATGAGACGAGAAATTATGACAGAATAAAAAATAAATACCGTCTTGCGGAGACATGAAATTGACGTAGCCATAAGAGAGAGAGCGTCCAGTAGCGGAATCTCTACAGATACGAACAGAGGCAAGGCTCTTGAATCCAGAGAAAGCATCAAAGAGCTGACCATCAGTGACATCAGGATGAAGGTCGCCAACATAGAGCGAAGCCGGAGAGGCATGAACCGCCGTCTGAGGAACCGCCGCCATTACAACAGGGAAATCGCGAACTCCTGGAACAGGTAGAGATTCAAACCACAAAAACAAACCATCATCATCAAATCATCAAAAAATAATAACAGAAAAACCACAACAACCCAAACCTGAAGTCTGGTAATCACTTCCTTCTTTGGAATAATG